CCAGCAGCATTTATTGAGTAGAGATTCCTTTCCCCAATGTATATTTTTGTCTGTTTTGTCAAAGATTAGATGACAATATTAGGATGGTTTTATATCTGGGTTCTCAGTCCTGTTCCAAAGGTCTGTAACTGTTCTTGTGCCAATCCCATGCTGTTTTGGTTACTACAACCTTGTAGTAAAGCTTGAAGTCTGGTAGACTGATGCCTCCCAGTTTATTCTTTTTGCTTAAGATTGCTTTGGCTCTACGAGGTCTTCTCTGGTTCCATACAAAGTGTAGAATTATTTTTTCTAGATGTATAAAATGATGATGGTATCTTGATAGGGATTGCATTAATTCTGTAGATCACTTTAGGTAGTATGGACATTTTAACAATAGTGATTCTGCCAGTCCATGAACATGGTAGGATTTTCCATGTGTTTACATATTCTACAATTTCTTCTCTGAGTGCTTCATAGTTCTCCCTTTCGGTGGTTCTCACCTCCTTCATTAAATATATTCCGAAATGTTTAATTTTCTTTGATGCTACTGTAAAACATGTTGCATCTTTGATTTGACTGTTGGCTTGACTATTGTTGGTGTATGTGGATGCCACTGATTTCTGTGCATTGATTTTGTATCCCAAAACTTTACTAAAATAATTTATCAATTCCAGTAGTCTCTTGGTTTAATGCTTGGGATTTTCTAGATATAATATCATATGGTCAGCATAGAGTAAGAGTTTGACCTCTTCTGCCTGCATTTCGACACCCTTAATTCCCCTCTCTTGTCTGATTGCTCTGGCAAGGACTTCCAGCACTATGTTGAATAGAGGTGAAGATAGTGGACCATCTTGCCTGGTTATGGTTCTAAGTGGGAATGCTTTCAATTTTTCCCCATTCAGTATGATATTGGCTGTGGATTTATCGTACATGGCTTTAATAATTCTAAAGTATGTCGAATCTATGCCTATTTTGTTAAGAGTTTCTATCATAAAAGTGTGCTTGATTCTGTGAAAGGTTTTTCTGCATCTTTGGAGAGAATCATATGGTCTTTGCTCTTGCTTTTATTTATGTGGTGAATTGCATTTGTATATTTGTGTATGTTGAACCAAACTTGAATCTCTGGGATAAAGTTCACGTGGTCGTGATGAATTATTTTTTTGATGTGCTGTTGGATTCAGTTTGCTAAGATTTTGCTGAATATTTTTGCATCTATGTTCATGGGGAATATTAGTCAGTAGTTTTCTTTTTT